GACCACCGGCGGAGCTTGGGGGCCATGGAGGCAGACCACAGGTAGGGAGCTTGGGGGCCATGGAGGCAGACCACCGGCAGGGAGCTTGGGGGCCATGGAGGCAGACCACCAGCAGGGCACTTGGGAGCCATGGAGGCAGACCACCATGCTTGGGGAGCTTGGGGGCCATGGAGGCAGACCTCCGTGGTGGGGAGCTTGTGGTAGAGCAGTGTTGCTCACTTCTTGGCAGAAGGAATGACAGAGGGAGGGACTAGAGCCCCAAATCACCCTCTAGAATATGTTCACAGTGACAGACTTCCTGCTGTCACCACAGGTTCAAATGTCAAAACCACCAGTGAATTAAACCATTGACAAAGGCAGGGCCCACATAAGTCAGTGCCCCAAATCCCCATGTCTCAACATTGCTTGTGTCTGGGACCAAGCCTTCAACACATGAGTCTTTTGAGTGCCCCACTTCATATCCAAACTGTAGTAGCTATAGAATTGAGCAAAGCTTCACCTTGCCTGACGTATGCATTTACTTAGTACCTTCTGTTGCCAGAACACTATTTTGGCATTTTAACAGAGAAAGTCTCGCCTTGAACTTCAGTTAATGGTGTGTTGTAAAGTCAGAGCACACTGACGTTGAGGAGCATTTAGAATGCAGTAGGCTTTGTCGTGCTGCAACTCCTTTTTCAGTTTCCCTCCTAGGGCCAACAAGTGGTCAGTAACATTGAATTTTTAAAAATTTTCTTGGGCTGGAGAGATGGCTCAGCGGTTAAGGGCATTGGCTGCTCTTGCAGAGGACCTGGGTTCAATTCCCAACACCCACATGTCAGCTAACCACTGTCCATAACTCCAGTTCCAGGATATCCAACGCCCTCTTTTGACCTCCATGGGCATTGCATGACACAGGTACATATATATACATGCAGGCAATACACTCAAACACACAAAATAGAAATAATATTTTTAAAAATTTAAACATTTTCTGAAAATGCTTCCCATAAGTTTCACAATGGAGTAGATGATCTGATGAAGTAATTTCATACAGGAGTACGATCTCCTTATCTCATTTAGATAGAGTTGGTCACTTTTAATGTGATGTGCTGCAGGGCAGTTTCCTGGTGTTTATAGTTTGCCGTCTCCCCCTCCTCCTCAACATTCATTCATTAGCTTCTATTCAGTCCTTCCCGCTCTTCCTTCCCTCCCCTACCTCCGCCCTCCCCTGTACTCTCTTTTACTTGCACCTGTCATGTACCCGCCCCTTGTATCTTTTTAAAAACTGCCACATAATATTTAAGGTGTGAGAACTTAGAATGACAGTTTTCCTTTCATTCAGGATTAATCAGTTGTCCCAAGTGTTTGGAGCTCTGTGTGGAAGGTATAATAGCAATGTGCTGTCGTATCTTTATAATTAAGGATTACTATTTCAGGTGAAGCCGTCTGTTTTCATCTTTATTTTCTGTTATGTGGTTCTTAGGTTCAGAATTTAACATTACGCAGCCAGAAGCTGGGCGTGTTGTCTAGCTCACAGAATGGTCCACCAAAAAGCACTGGTCAGACTCAGTCATTGGCAATCTGCCATAACAAAACAACAGTGACAAGTTCTAAAATCAGCCAACGGGATCCTTCTCCAGAAAGCAGTAAGAAGGGAGAGAGCCCCAGTTTGGAGCCACGCAGCACTGCTGTCACGCGGACATCAAGCATTCACCAGTTAATAGCACCAGGTGGGATAAGCTTTTGTTGAAGATAGTCATATTATTTTCTTAGTAGACAGCAAAACAGGTGTCTACTTCTTAAATAAGAACGACAATTTTAAAACATTTTAAAATGAGAAATTCACAAGTTAAAGAATGCATTAAATGTATGTAGCATTAAAAAAAAAAAAAAAAGAAAGAAATTCAGAAAGCCCCGTAGCTTAAACAAATTATAAGAATAAAATAGCCGGGCTTGGGGGCACACGCCTTTAGGCCCAGCACTTGGGAGGCAGAGGCAGGCAGATCTCTGTGAGTTCGAGGCTAGCCTGGTCTCCAGAGTGAATCCAGGCCAGCTGTGGCTACAAGGAGACCCTGTCTCAAAAAGACAAATGAATGAATGAATGAATGAAGAAATAAAATAGATGGGTTTTGTTGTTGTTAACTGGTTCTTGATTAACATCTTTATGATATGCTGACATTTCTTTTTATTAACAGAACTTTAGCTTTTAAAAAATTGCCTATAGTCTATTTAATATACTTTAGTGGACCATATTTAAAAGGTTTTAGTGTATTTGGTTTAAGTCATTAGCAGGAAGAATCTGTAAGTTAAAAAAAAGAATTGTGGAAATAAGGAAAATTATTTTCTTTACTATGCTTCCCCTGCCCCACGTCTCTGTTCACCTAAGAGGAAGTTGTTAGGGAATCAGTTCTTTTTATTGTACTGAGCTATGAAACTGGTGCTCTCTTTCGTTTGTGCAGATAACTCTGTTTGATGGTTCTTAAACTGACAATGTGAGGGCGTTCCAGAGACAGCTTCCTGGCTCTTCTTTTTATACTATTGAAATCTGCTTTCCTTACTTACTCTGACTTCTCTCTCCTTGTGTATGTGTGTGGTACTAGGGATTGAATCTGGGGCCTCACCCATGCCACACAGGCACTCCACCCAGGATTTACATCCCTGTGATATCTTTTTTTATGTTCTATGTTAGTATTGCCAACATGCTTTGCTTTTTCAAATCTCAAAATCTTGGCATTACCTGCTTCTTCTCGTTAGAAAGTCTCCTTCCTCTGGACTTCTGAAGCAGTACTTACTCTGTGCTAGAGAGAAGGTTCCTTAGACCCCTCATACTCTACAGGGATGACCAAGTACTTCTGCCTGTGACAACGCTGTTTTTTTAAGCAGTTTACATTGATTGAGTCTTTTAGTTCTTTTTTAGATTTACCTTTCCATCTTTGTATCTTCACAGCACTACGATGTGCCTTGTACTTACCTGCCTATAGTAGGTGGTCAGGTATATAATGGATGGATTAATAGTTCATTTTCCACCATTTGGACTTTGGAAATGATAGTGCAGTCTTTCCCATTAGCATTCATTAGGTACCACACTGCTTAGAATTGTGTGTGAATCTTTGATAAGTACTGTAAACTTTGCTACTAAGTTCTCTCATGCTTGCATTATATTAGACCTGGTTTCTCTTTGTGAATGTCTGTGTCTCTGCTGTCTGTATGGTCTCTTAACTCGGATTTTGCATGGCGTTGTTCAGGGTGTGCTCAGCCTCGAGTAGTTCCTGCCAGGATTGTTGGAAAGTCAGTGTGGAACAGCAGGGACCCACTGTGCTTGACGTGAACAGTCATGTTCAGGGAACAGTATCTAGTGAGACCTGCCATCTTGTTTTTTGCTTCAATTAGAAACATGCTAACAAGTCATTTTAAATACAAACAAATCACCCTATGTGTATTCTAATGTAATTTAGTAGCAGCCTTGGTTACTATTTCCATGCATATACTTTTAGGCCTTAAAAATAATTTTCTTCACCATTTCTCCTTGAAATAGAAGTTTCCACTTGTTAGTAATTCTATTTATTTATTTTGAGACAAGGTTTCACTGTGGAGCTGAGGCTGCCCTCCAACTCATGGTAGTTTTCCTGCCTCAATCTCCCAAGTGCTGAGCTTACAGGCATAAGCTACCATGCTTGACTGATACTGTTTTTAGACATTTTAATTCATGTGTGTGAGCATTTTGCTTGCATGTAAGTGCGCCATGTGTGTGCAGTGCCCACAGATGCCAGAAGAGGATCTTGGGTTCCCTGGATCTGGAGTTATGGATGGTTGTTAGCCACCATGTGGCTCTCTACAAAAGCAGCTAGTGCTCTTAACTGCTGAGCCATCCCTCCTAGAGCTGAATTTTTTTAAAGAAGATTTTAGAGATTTTTATGATACTACTATATTAGAAAAAACAAATGCCCCCACCCCCCGCAATCATTTAATTCAGTGTGTAGTGGAAAATTCCCGTACTAGTTTACTCTAGCTGCCGTGAACAAAGTGTCACAGACTAGATACCTGGGAAGCTCCAGATTGAAGCTGGCAATGTGGTTTCTGATGAGGACTCTCTTCTTGGCCTGCAGGCAGCCAGTTTCTTACTTGTCCTCATAGTGGTAGAGGGGAGCTCTCTGGTATCTTGTCCTCCTCTTCCTCTTCTTCCTCCCCCTCCTTTTAAAAGCTTTTTTGTATTTATTTTCTGTGTGTGGGGGGTGGGTGCCACAAAGTGCATGTGACGATGGGAGGACTGTTTGTGGGAGTTGGTTCTTACCTTCTACCACATGGGATATAGAGATTGAACTCAGATCATCAGGCTTTCAGTAAGTGCCTTTATCGGCCAAGCCATCTCACCAGCCTTGATAGCTGCTCTTATAGGTACATAAACCCCAGGGCCTCAGGATCCTATCTGACTGTAATTCCTTATAGCACCACCTCTACGTACTATGTCTTGGGGGTTATGGCTTCAACATTTGAATTTTGGAGGAGGGGCCCAAATAGTTAATAATATAGTCATAGACTTGAGATTTGGGGGTCTTCTAGACTTGGTGCTAACCTTTGACAGTTGATTTCAGGGAAGTCATTCACTTGGTTTGTTAATCTGTAACTTGTTGGATTAATTTAAAACCTTGCCCACTTCATGGGGTTGTAACTTTTGAATGGATGAAATAATGTTATTGTAAATAATATGAGAAATGATGCTGATCATTAATCTTCAAGTATTGGGCCACTCTGACAATAATAAAATGTTCATTAAAATTGAGAACTTAACCAACGGAGCATAGTTTTCTAGAGCTCTTCTTGCACAGAGTTCTTATTTCAAGCGTCTTCAAATTTTTCTTTAATATATATGCTCTTATCATGAACGGAGTTCAGAACAGGGTTTCTGATTCCCCTGGAACTGGAGTTAAGGATGGTTCATAGCCACCATGTGGGTGTTGGGAATTGAACCTGGGTCCTCTGCAAGAGCAATCAGTGCTCTCAACTGCTGAGCCATCTCTCCAGCCCCAATACTTTGACTTTTAAGAAAAATTAATTTAGATGAGAGAATAGGTTTTATTTATTGAAATATCAATTTACTTACTAGAACATACAAAAAATAGTTCTAGCGGATGTAATATCAACTATGCTTCAAGAATATGGTAAGTTTGGGGCTGGATACATAGTTCAATGGGTAAGAGCACTTGGTGCTCATGCACAGGATCTGAGTTCAGTTCCAGCATCCGCATCTCACAACTGCCGTGATTCCAGCTTCAGGGGATCCTGTGCCCTCTTCTGGCCTCCACATGCACATACACATAATTAAAAATAGAATAAATATTTTACAAAGAATATGGTAAATTTAAAGTATAACTTTACTTTTAAAATGGAGGCAAAAAAAAATCTAAGGAAAAATTTCCTTATCTGCTCACCCAGACTGTAGGTGCTGCGTTCCTGAGTGAAAGATATGCATGCTTTGAGCCTCTTGGAGGAAAACCACTCTGTAGATACCCAGGATATTGTTAATTCTCCTCTTTTGAACACTGTGTAACATAGACATCACCACATTTGTAAAGGACTGGCAGTCTTACTTTAAAGCAATAGTCTACCTGAAAATTATTTATTTGATGAAATTTCAGATCTGATTTCCTTTGGTTTCCTACCTCCCTCCTTCCCTCCCTCCCTCCTTCCCTCCCTCCTTCCCTCCCTCCCTCCTTCCCTCCTTCCTTCCCTCCCTCCTTCCTTCCCTCCCTCCCTCCTTCCTTCCCTCCCTCCTTGATAAAATGTGGGGAAGTGATGATGGTGACGTCTCTCCCTTATAGTGGCTCTTTTTCTCTCTTTATTTTTGTTATGTTTTGTCTTTCGTAGTGGAAATGGTGGACCCTTGATCCTCCTATATATTCAGCTTGCTTTCTAACACTGAGCCATACCCCAGTCCCCATTTTTAAATAATTTGTACCTATAGAAACTTATATTTTTGAAGCTGTTAATCATATGGTAATTTCTCTAAAGGATGCCTAAATTTTAAATTATAACCAAATACAAAAATATTGAAGAAAAAAGTAGATGTTTTTGTAAGGCTGTTGTGTGATTGAATTTAACAGTAGATGCAGGTTGTTACATACTTTTATATTAGCATTCTAAGATTTTAAAAGTTCTGTCTTTAGATAGCTATAATTTTGCATGGTATCAGGCAGTCAATTCAGTCTGTCTTCTAGTGCACCCAGTTTTCAGTCTGCGGAGGTAGGGTTTCTTTAGCCTCTCCCACTGTGGAGAAGAGAGAGGATTTAGGGTAGGAACTGCTGGGGTGATTCTTGTATCTGCACCCCTGTTGAGAGTGCCTCCTCTGTGAGACCTGACACTTGCTCACAGCTTACTCTGGGGAAAGGGGTAAACAGAAGCCTTTATTTAGGAGGCCAGAGCTTCTGAGTGCTTCATTCTCTGAAAGCAAATGAGTGCTCGCTTAGACTGGGAATAATGGCTCCTGTGCCACAACATTCAGTCACATGTTTTGCTTAATTGAAGTTTTATGTGAAACATTTTCTTTCTCATCACATAATAAAGACTTCTGAACTTGGTAACTTGCTTAGGAGACTTTGTAGCAAATTGCTTTTATTAGTATATGTTTCGACATGGATAGGATGAGATCATTAGCTTATCAATTTTAATGCTGCTTTTGATTTTGAAGCTACCTTTATGTATACTGTACTTGATCAGTGATAATACTTCTCTCTCAAAGAAGAAACTTGAATGGAGAAACTTTGCTAAAAGTCAGCATAGCTAGTCTGGTGCCCTGTAACCTTCAGTAGGAGTAGATCATGAGCAACTGTAGGTATGTGAGTAGATAGTTTGAAGCAGGTTTTGTTGTTGCTTCACAGTACAGCTTGTTTTGCCCAACATTTTTAGCCTTCCAAGGAAAACATGTTGTCATAAAATTGCAATTTATTCTTATCAAAATGACTTGTAATAGAACTCTAGTGACTGTGACTTTCTGATGTGAGAACTTTCCTATTTTAGATTTATGTAAAACTGCCATTTTTGAAGTCAGTACTAATTGTCATTTTTTTCTCTCACAGCTTCATATTCTCCAATTCAACCTCATTCTCTAATAAAACATCAACAGATTCCTCTTCATTCACCACCACCTAAGGTTTCCCATCATCAGCTGGTATTACAGCAGCAGCAGCAACAGCAGATTCAGCCAATAACCCTTCAGAATCCAACTCAAGACCCACCCCCATCCCAGCACTGTATTCCACTCCCAAACCATGGCCTTTCTCCAGCTCCCAGTAATGCCCAGTCACAGCATTGTTCGCCAATTCAGAGCCATCCCCCTCCCTTAACAGTGTCTCCTAATCAGTCACAGTCTGCACAGCAGTCTGTAGTGGTGTCTCCTCCACCACCTCATTCCCCTAGCCAGTCTCCCACTATAATTATCCATCCACAAGCACTTATCCAACCACACCCTCTTGTGTCCTCAGCTCTTCAGACAGGGCCAAATTTGCAGCAGGCTACTGCTAATCAGGTGCAGCCGACAGCACAGCTGAATCTTCCATCCCACCTTCCGCTTCCAGCATCCCCTGTTGTACACATTGGCCCGGTCCAACAGTCCGCCTTGGTGTCCCCTGGTCAGCAGATCGTGTCTCCAACATCACACCAGCAGTATTCTACCCTGCAGTCCTCTCCAATTCCAATCACAACCCCTCCACAGATGTCGGCCTCTCCTCCAGCCCAGATCCCACCACTGCCCTTGCAGTCTATGCAGTCTTTACAAGTGCAGCCTGAAATTCTATCCCAGGGTCAGGTTTTGGTGCAGAATGCTTTGGTGTCAGAAGAGGAACTGCCTGCTGCCGAAGCTTTGGTCCAGTTGCCATTTCAGACTCTTCCTCCTCCACAGACTGTTGCAGTGAACCTCCAAGTACAGCCACCAGCACCCGTTGATCCACCAGTGGTAAGCCCTTGGAAGCTCTTTGACTTTCTTGCTGAACCGAAAGTAAAAGTACTTTTCTCTCCCACACCGTGCTATACTTCTAAGTCTAAATGTCTGTGAATTTAAAAAGCTTGGACTTTCCTGTCAGACTTCTGACAAATGTACTTTATGGGCAAAAAAAAAAAAAAAAAAAAAAACCCACACAGAAAAAAAAATGTTGTTTGTCGTAGTATGGTTGCATGCTTTGAATTTGTGACGGTTATTAAAGTCCCTCGTTAATTTTATTACTATTTAAACAAATCCATCTGCTATCTTTACAGAGTTGATTTTTTTTCCCCAAGGGAATGCATTTGAACCAGTGTCATCTGCACAAAGTTTTTTCTCTTAAGGTGATTATCCTTCATAGATCCCTTCTGTTGGCTTGTGTGTTCTTAACGTATGGTTATCTAGCTAACCTTTTTAGTTGTATGCATTTTGAAGTCCTGGAACTTGAGGAGGTTTTCTTTCAAGGTGGAGAAAGTATGGTTGTATGATGTAATTTTTTGATTAAAATTATGTTTTGTAATTAAAATTTTCTTAAAAATTATTGTAGGATATAATCTAACTTTGAAGAAAAAAGATTTTTAAACTTTCTACTAAGGGAAAATATATGCTTAAAGATTTCTTTCTTAAAAGCCTCAAAAATCTGTTGCAGATTTTCATACTGAGAATAGAGAAAGTAGACTAGATGGGATAAAGTTTTAAGTATTCGTGACAGTATGGGTTCATCAGAATAAGCCTCTAGAAATTGTTATGGTAGTGCCTAGAAAGGAAAATGACTTGAAAATATTTTCCCCCCAAATGTTCTTTAAAGAACTTATTAAAATATATAAATGATTTATGCAAAATTAAAATAAGGTCTGTAAATTTTCAATCAGAATGATCAAAGCCACAGTTTCTCACTGAGAAGATGTTTCCTAAAGGAAAGTCATGTGTCAAACCTTCCAAATTCACTGAAAGCCAGACATGGTTTCCTATACTGTAATATCAGTCCTTGGGAAGCTGAGGCAAGACGATCATGAGTTTGGCTATCCTGAGTTCAAGACCAGCCTTGGCTACAAAGAGACCCTGTCTCAAAAAAATTTCCCCTGAACAGATTTTTATCACTTAAAAGAAAATAACCATCAGTCTTTCAGAAAGTAAAGGCGTTTCAGTGTTTTCATTAATAAACATTTTCAATCTTAAGACATAAATTTATAGATAAATTATTCTTGTTCTTCTGAGTTATCTTAATAGACACAAAGATACTAAATTCTACCCTTTATTTCTCTTTTAAAAATGAGAACCCCACAGAAGCAAAAGTGCTAGAGATAATTTTGTCATTTAAAGATGTGTTTCTGTATTTTCTTTTAATGGATTTTTAGCACACTTAATAGATACTGTATTGGGGCTGAGACTCAGTGGTAGAGTATTTGGCTAGCATCTGCCAGACCTTGTGCTTAGTCCCTGGTACTGCCAAAACAAAGGCTTAGGAAAGACACAGTACCTTCATCGGAATCAAATTTAATTCAGATTTATTTTCTCAACTTCTAAGTCAGTGATTGATTTTTCAAAAAGTACACAGTAAAATTTTTATATTCCATATATTTTTCTAATTATTATTTTTTTGTAAGGGACACTTTGGGGCAACATATTTGGAGTAGAAACACCACAAGGATAATGCTTTAAAAATTGATTAATGCCAAAAATATTTATGGTTCTACTTTCTTACCATTTTTGGAAGTTTTTTCTTTTTCCTGTTTTCACTGAGATGGCCCATGTGCTAGCTCTTGGTGCTCCAGTCCCCTTTCCTCTGGCCTTTCTGTAAATAGTGTAGCTCGGTTTATTAAACTGATGTTTTCCACTGTTGTTGGCTAAAAATATTTTTCCATCAAAACACCTTTTTAAAAATTGGTTATTTCAAATACCTAAACATAGAGAGAGTTATTTATTTTCTATAAGATGTGAAATTTTAGAAGGGTGAGTTGTCAAAGTAAAATCAGTATGTTTTTTTAAAGGATAATCTATAAAAGAATTAAAGTTTTTTTTAATTGAGATTTGGATGTAAATAAGATATGTTGAGGGTAGATAATTTAGAACTAATAAACAAATGTTCCTCAGTTTATTTAGGAAAGGGAGACAGATGGGAATAATGGACTTTATTGAGGTAAGTTTGGCAGTCTTTGTTATTTTTAGAATAGTTATAGTTATGAACTGAACAGAAATTATGTGTAGTTTCATAATGATCTCGTGAGCAAAACTTTCACTTATTTTCTTTTTTCAATATTTTAGTTAATTGTATTTGGATTTTTGTGTGTGTGCTGATTGTGCCGGATATATGTGACAAATTTGTTTTTGCCTACTTTACCTATTAACTTATTTTCCTCTATGTGGAGATTATGAAGAGCTCTGTGTATTTAGCTTTCTCTTAAGAATGGAAATGTTTTATAGTATTCTTTGATAGATAATCTGAAAAAATGCTATTTGTGTTATGACTTTCCTTCTTTTAAAATACTTTTCAAAGCTCAGAATCCTATGCACGGTCAAGCTTTGATTCCTTAAAAGACACTGAGCAAATCTTTGAGTAATAACCCTCGGCAGCATTAAGAGTAAAGAACGAGGTGCAGCAGTTGAATGGAAGAGGGTGCTCTTTGGAAGAAAAGTATTATCTATTTTAGGAAATTTTATGTGGATAAAATTGAACTGGTTAATAAAACCACATTCGTCTATATACCCTGAGTCTATGCTCCTGCCATTCTGGCAGCAATCGTAGCCTGCGCCTTCAGATGTATTGGTTGTTGGATTTGTTTTGTGTTAACCCCCAGCTTTTGGGGGACTATTCTATGCTGGGTATTATCAAAATTTTAAATTACTGTTGTCACGAACAATACTAGTGGCTGTCACCAATGTAGTGTACAGCAAGTGCTTCCACTTCTGATAGGAGGCATGGGATCTTTCTTGGTGACAAAGTTTTGTGGTTTCAAGGTTATGACAAGATCCTTATTTAGATCAAAGTTAGGATGTTACATTTAATATAAAATGGCCCCAGTGGAATTTAAAAAGTTTTATTGAGACAGGGTCTCTTTCTGTAGCCCCAGCTGGCCTGGAAACTCACTATGTAGACCAGCTGGCCTTGAACTCATAGAGATAGAGTTGCCTGCCTCTGCTGGGATTAGTGTCCTGGGCCACCATGCCGGCTTTTAAAAAGTTTTTTAAGGCAAAAATGATAATTAATTCTTTCTCGTTGTTAGATAGGGTCTTGTTATGCACACAGGCTGGCCTTGAACTGACCATTTTTCTGTCTCAGCCTTCTAAGTGCGGGATTATAGGAATGTGCTGCCACACCTGGCTAGATGCTTATTCTTAGTAGGTGCTTGAAAAGAATTTTTTTAAAAAACAGTTTTGCTTGCTGTTATATATACCTTTTTTGACTTTTTATAACACAAAGTTTATACCAGATTCAGAAATCTTAATTACTTTCATATTCTATATACCTCAAATTGTCAATAATTTAACTAAAAATGTAATACTGGATGTCACAAAGTTATTTTGTGAATGTTCAAATATTTGTTTTTACTTTGTTAAGATTTATTGACGTGCTAATCAGTTAATCTAAAAAAAAAACCCCTATAATCTTTGTAAATTTAAGTAAAAACTTTGCCACATAAAAGGAGGAGAACTGATTTATGGCTTTGTTTTTAGTAACCTATTATCCTTCATAAACAATGGTTAATAAATGGCAAGCAATTTATTAATTTCTAGAAATACACTTTGAAAATGAATTTTTAGGTGTAATAGAACATTAGTTGTTTAGTCAGCTCTGGTGTATTGCTTCTCCTTAGAGTGCTTTTGATTCCACGGTCCTTCAGTACAATTTTTATAATTGGATAAAAAGGTAAAGTCTAACCTTCCCGCATGAGAACTAAAAGATAGATCCAAGTGGCTTAGGGTGTGTATGCGTGTGCGTGCGTGCGTGGGTGCGTGTGTGTGTGTGTGTGTGTGTGTGTGTGTGTGTGTCTACTGTTTTGAAGAAAGACGTTTTCTATATTTATGATATCAGCTTATAAGAATTATTTAATTCTTGAGTAGAACAGAAAAGGAATGAAACCATCTAATTGACGTTTGTGTTGTTTCAAGCACATTAATTTTCATAATTTAGTTTTTTTACATAATAATTAACCTGGCATATAATTTCCTTGGTAATATATTGGCCCATTTATATTACTTTGAAAATTTACTTAGTGTGTCTGTGAAAATTACTAGTACCTATTTTGATTTATGACAGGTTGAAATTAACAGAAGCAGTTGTATTATTAAAATAGTTATTTGATTGTGTAAATTAAAAAACAACTTTTTATTCTTAAAAGTATGTTCAGATGTGGCAGCCATCATTCTGGGAACCCCAGTGATTCCTGGCTTATATGACTGGTCCACAGCGCTTTCAGTGACATACTATTATGATAAATTTTCATTTGAGTTTCAAATTTTTCCTTTAAACTTGTCAGTATAGCTATTTGCCCTGCTTTTAAATGTAATACTCTTAGAATTTAATTTTTACAAATTAAGAATTCCTCATGAAATGTAGTTTGGAAACATTTTAAGGCAGTACGGCCTGTCATTGCAGGTTTATCAAGTAGAAGATGTGTGTGAGGAAGAAATGCCAGAGGAGTCAGATGAATGTGTCCGGATGGACAGAACCCCACCACCACCCACTTTGTCTCCTGCAGCTATTACTGTGGGGAGAGGCGAGGATTTGACGTCTGAGCATCCTTTGTTAGGTGAGGTGGTACAAAATACAAACAAAATGTTAGTAATAGGAAATAATTTTTTTCATTAGAGATGGTATTAAACTAACTTGTTAACATAGTTAACTGTGGCAAAAGCTACACTAGAATTCAAATATTAAAATGTTTATGAATATTCTTTTATTAAATAATAGTACTTGGAAAATTCTTTAATGGCAGGGAGGTCATTAGTTTAACACTCAAATGAAGGACATGTCATTTCAAGCAGTGTAATTGCTTATACAGATGTTTCATATGCCTCTTCAGTTCAATTCACGCGTTAGCTGTTTCTAGCTTAAAAATGAGGATGGAGGCTGAGGAGATGGCTCAGTGGGTACAAGTGCTTGTCATGCAAGCCTGGCAGCCTGAGTTCAGATCCTCACAGTTTGTGTAAAAGGCTCCTGTAATCCTGGCACTGTGGTGACATGGGAGGTGGAGACAGGAGAATTGCCTGGAAGCCCTCCAGCCAGCCAGCCTGTGTATGTAGTGCAGCTGCAGAAACACAGGAGACCCCATGTCAAACAAGGTAGAAGGTGAGAACCAACTCTAAAAAGCGTTCTTATATCAGATGTACCTCACGATTGCTTATGATCCAGACTAGGTGCTTTAAAAGTTTCTTTAACATATATGCTACATAAGTTCTGATGTAGAGACTACCAATGTTGGCTCAGGCTTTGTTGTAAATATTCTGTTCTTTTGAATATTTCATGATCCTCGTGATTATTTTCACTTAAGAACGAGCACTCTCCTTGCCTGAGAACAAACTGCAGTGGGAGCCGCATCGACCCGAAGCAGCTTTTGCCTTCTCCTCTTCAGCTTACAGCACCCTCGTCCCCTCCCTTCTTTCATGCCCTTATTCCCTTCTTACTCATGTGAATCTCCAGGAAGCACAGAAAAAAGAAAGTCAGCTTCCCTTCTCTCCCCTCCTCCATCTCCTCTCCTCTCCTTTCTTCCTTCCCATCATGCCCAACTTCTTTTCTCTCTTAAAAATAGAAAATGCTGTCAATAAAATTATATAAGTGAAGACAAATGAATAGTGCCTTTGTGCAATCAGAATACCACAAATGTTTATTTTAAAGTCTTAACTTTAACACCAGGTATGGTGGTACACACTTGTAATCTTGGTACTTAGGAGGCTGAGGTAGGAAGATCTTAAGTTCAAGTGTAACCAGGGTCCATAGGGGATTTGAGGCCAGCCTGGGCTACATAATGAGACTAATTTTTTAATTTTTTTTGGTCTTTTTGAGGCAGGGTCTCCCTGTAGCCACAGCTGCCCTAAATTTACTATGGAGACCAGGCTAGCCTTGAACTCAAAGCGATCTGTCTGCCTCTGCCTCCCAAGCGCTGGCACTAAAGGCACACACCACCACACCTGGTGGGACCTTTTTTTTTTATAAAAAAAATTAACAATAGTATCAGATGTTCTTTTTTAAATATTTTATTTATTATTTTTGTTTTATGTGTATGGGTGTATTGTCTGCATGTATGTGAGTGCACCCATGTCATGCAATGCCACGGAGGTCAGAAGAGGGCATTGGATCCCCTGGAACTGGAGTTAGGATGGTTGTTAGTTGCCGTGTGGGTACTGGGAATTGAACCCGGGTCCTCTGCCAGAGCAGCCAGTACTCTTAACCACTGAGCCATCTCTCCAGCCCCAATATTTCTGACTTAAAAAAAAATTGTGATGCTGAGGATGAAGACCAGGGTCTTGGCATGCTAGCAAACAATCTACCACTGAGCTACATCCTCAGCCTGTATTTTCTTTACTCTGAAAGTAGATTTCTGTTACTACAGATTTCCTAAAGATTTGATTTAAAAGTAGAAACATTGGAAAATTTTGAATTGTGATTCTGATTTAATTTTAAAATAAGCATTGCTTGATGACTAACACCAAATGTAAGTGCTTTTGAAAATATTGGAACACAGGTTTATATTATTCCTCTTTGGAGTCTAGGCTGAGATCCTGTCAAGCATATCTTTTTAGTCTTCCTGTAATTTATTTCATGCTTAGGGTTGAAGAGATGGCTCAGTGGCTGAGAGCATTTGCTGTTCTTACAGATGACCCACCCCCACACTCGGTGGTTTACAACCTTCTATAACTCCAGTTCCAAGCAATCGGATGCCCTCTTCAGGTGTCTATGGGTACTGCCCACACTTAGCATACACTCACACAGGGACATACACAGAAGTAAAAATAAAAATAAATCTTAAAAAAATAGACATTTCCATTCAGGATTCAACCTTTTTAATTTGTAAAATTTGTAAAAAATCTTCAAAAGCTTCCATGCAAAAAGGCAGGAAAAGTTCATAGATCTTGTACAGACTCTATAAAAGTCATAGACACTAAATTGGGTTTTCACTCATGTTTGAGTTAAATCTTTAGGGTATAGCAATAGTGTTTCTCTTGTAAAATGTGTGTTGCTCATGCTTTTTATTTTAATGGCTTCTTATAAGCTGGCAAATGATAGGTATTAACTTCTTCAAAAAGTCAGTAACTTACAGATCTGATCTTAGCAAAATGTTAGAGACTGTATCATACATATGACCTAAAGATTAATTCCAATCTACACCAAACAGTATTTTCTGAAAAAATAAAATGATGCTTACTGCAGCTTCCTCATCCATTCATGCTGCAGTATCAGAGTATGTAGACTTGGGCTGGCTGTGGGGGTTTCCATAAGCCTGTAGCACCAGTGCTCAGGACCAATGCAAGAAGATCTGAAGTTTGAGGCCAGGCTAGGCTACCTAACAGGAACACAACCTCTCAAAACTAACCAAACAAAAATGAACAAGAAGAATCACGGACTTAGTATTTATACTAAAGAAAAATTCATTTTATGGCGAGGGGGTGCATTCTGAGAGAAGGTGCTACTTCCTGCACGGTCAGCATGGCAGGAGCATCATGTGGGCAGAGAGTGAACAGCGAGTAACAGTTCACCAGGCATAGACAGCAGGTAGTGGTGAGGGAGAGACCTGATCACTTAAAAGTTCTACCCTTGGGGCTGGAGAGATGGCTCAGCGGTTAAGAACACTGACTGTTCTTGCAGAAGACCCGGGTTTGATTCCCAGCACCCACATGGCAGCTAACAACTGTCTGTAACTCCAAGTCCCAGGGGACCCAACAGCTTCTTCTGACCTCCGTGGGCATTGCACAACATGGGTGTACTTACGTACATACAGGCAATACACACATACACATAAAATAAAAATAATAAATAGAATTTTTTAAAAAAGTTCTAGCCTTAACATTTGCACTGGGGATCCAGTTTCTAACACAGGGATTTGGGGAGAGATGCATGTTTGTACCTTAGCATGCATTTTTGTATTTATAGAGTAAGAAAGTACCTTTAATTCTATAAGGGCTATTTAGAAATTTATTTTGTCTTTGTTCTTCATAAGTTAAATTTTTTTCCTACAGAAGAATGGTTTTTAGTTCTTCATAGTTTTTAATTTTTATCTTTTCTCCCATAGAAGTGTATGTGATGATTTGACATATGGGTAGGTATTGTGGAGTCCTGCTTGGTAATATATATGTACAGTTGTGCATTTGTTCCCAGAAATTAGCAAGTTAGCATTCTACTGATTTTTTTTTCCTTCCCCACTCCCTTCTCCCCTCCCTCTGTCCCTCCCTCCGCCCTTCCTCCTTCCTTAATAGACTATGTGTGGCTTTAAGCAGGTTTTCCAATAGTTTATCTTGGTGAAACTACATTAACTTATTATGGCTATAATGGTGCTGGTAAAAGCTACAGGACATTAGTCACACTGGTGTTACTAAGGGTGAGCTTTTAGTGTTTTTGTTTGTTTCCTTTTTTCTTTCAGAATGTTAATGTCTATTTAGGGGTGCGGGTTGACCCTGTGCATGCTTCTCAGGCATTCTACCACTGATCTGTATGCCCGGTTCCTACTTCAGTGTTTTATCAGCTGAGTTTTCTGTTTTGTAGGGATTTCTATTCTCTCTTCCCCGATACCTTATTGATCCATATTTTCAGTATTGTTGATAAGTGGTGTCACTCCTTTCACACTGACAGTGGAGAGGAGTTAACAGAACAGTTGCATGCTAGAACCAAACTGTCTGGAGAGCATCCAGCTCCCCTGCTTGTCTGCTGTGTGTTGCTAAGGCGAGTAACAGTCTGTGCCTTGGTTCCCTCATCTGTTAGGATGGAGATGGGGGAGTAGCTACCCGTGGGCTGGCTGGAGAGATTGAGTGAGGCACAATATACAAAGCATCGAACATGGACCTGCATGCATGAGCCTCTCTCAGTCTTTGCTCACTCTTTGCACACATGCCTTTTATTTTCCTCGTGCATCTGTGCTCACTGATGCTTGCAGTATTGGCTGTTGGATCGTCTACTTTTGCAGTCAGTGAAGGGTTGGTGCTCCCGAATGGGCCGGTTGTCAGTTGCGTCTTACTGTGGTCCTTAGAATTTGAAGAGGAAAATCCCAGTGATTCAGATCAGCATGTACAGGGCCAGTGAAGGATAAAGAAAGCAAAGGACTTTTGTAAGAGGGTTTGCAGGCTCTCACTGCTTTGAAGTTAAGGACTGTGGACTGTCAAAATCATTGACATTCTTACTTTGTGGGTTTCATGATCCTTTTTCATTTTCCAGGTGAATACCTGTCCATATCATGTGGAATAGAGAGACAGGAATGTAGGGTGTTTAATGTCCATATAGCTTAAGAAAACAGACACTTGTCTAACCATTTTCATAATTTCCCGAGATGATATTCTGTGGCATTTTCATGTCTTAATGGTGACAGTTTCTTTAAAGATTTATTTTTATTGTATGTGTATGAATGTTTTGTCTGCATGTACGTATGTGCACTGTGTACATGTGTATGAGTGTATTGCTTGCATGTATGTGAGTGCACCTGTGTCGTGCAGTGCCGCAGAGGTCAGAAGAGGGTGTCAGATTCCCCTGGAACTGGAGTTAAGGACGGTTCGTAGCCGCCATGTGGGTGCTGGGAATCAAACCTGGGTCCTCTGCAAGAGCAGTCAGTGCCCTTAACCACTGAGCCATCTTTCCAGCCCCATGATTTTAAAACTATGTTTAAATGATAATTTTGAGCAGGTTATGTTCTGCAGAATGGGGGCAATAACTTCTTCCTTATAAGGTTATTGTGCAGATTAAATAAGACAATAAACATAATATTCTTCGAAAAGTTTAGAAAACACAAGACATGAGATACGATTATTGCCTAGTATTGGCAGGCTCCTAAAGGTAAAGTTTCTTCTCTTTCAGAGCAACTGGAATTGCCTGCTGTGGCCTCAGTCAGTGCTTCAGTAATTAAGTCACCATCAGAACCTGCCCACGTCTCTGTTCCTCCGCCTCCACTCTTAATTCCAGCTGCTGCCACGAGGAGTCCCAGCACATCTCTCCCCAGCAGCATCCCCAGCCTGGAGAACAAACCTCCACAGGCGATTGTGAAACCACAAATCTTGACCCACGTGATTGAAGGTTTTGTGATTCAGGAGGGACTGGAGCCATTTCCTGTAAGTGGGAAGCATATTTGTGTTTTGAAAATTGTTACCCACACAACAGTGTTTTTAAAAATCGTATATTCTCTAAGAAAACACTTGTAATCTCATTGTAAAAGGTTGGTTTTGGGGCCCGGAAAGTTGGCTCAATGGTTAAGAGCGCTGGATACTCTTGCAGAGTTCAGTTCCCAGGACCCATGTGGAGGCTGCCAACCATCACCAATTCCTGTTCTAGGGGATCTGATGTCCTCCTCCAGCTTCCAAAAGCATTGCATGCATGTGGTGTGTTTACTACATGCAGATGAAACACTCATACACATAAAAAGTTTTAAAAAATAAATAAAAAGGTTGGTTTCTAGCTAGAATTTTATTTTTTGTCAGGTGAGGAGAGGGATTTAATTTTTTTTTAAATTTTTTAAAATTTAATAACCGCATGATTAGAAGAGCATTTCATTACAGCTTTAACATATTCAGTAACACATTCCAGAGCAAGGATACATCTCTTTCAAAGGTGGCTGTAAATTTTAGGTTCGCAGTTGAATTAATACAGTTATACAATATTGAACTTAGTAGAAACCCTGTAAGACATAAAATTGAATGAGTTTTTACCCTTTAAAGAAGATCTCCATTTCAAGATACTCTGTTTCCTACATTTTTAATGCTACTAATGCTTAAATGTTTGTACATGTGTCTTTAATCTCTATGTATCTGATTATTACTAGTCACAGTTGGTTACAATTGGATCCTTAGTACCTGAGTATGGATATAAAGTCGTCAGGTAGATTTCACTGGCATTGTTTATCACTTCTACTAAGTTACATGAAGTAAATTTTTATGCTTCCTCCTCAAATATGTCTTTTAAAAAAAATTGTTGATTTCTTGTGTGTGTATATCATATGGAACATCCCACACAATCTTTTTCATCTATATACCCACTTCCCAAATGGAACCCTCCCAAAGCCTCCCCCCTCCCACACACTGGAGCCCATATACTCTGTCATCCCTGTTATTTTAATCTTTAAAAAAGATCTCCATTTCATTTCAGAATATATTGGTCCTTGCAGAAAGACTCATTGTTTTTGCTACTAACACTGAGATGTTGGCATGTGCATCTCTAATCTGTATGTATCTGATTATTACTAGTCATAGTCGGTTGCACTCGGATCCTTGGTGCCTGTGTTATGTCTATAAAGTCATCACGTAGATTTCAGTGGTAATGTTTATCACCTCTACCCATTAACATGACATAAATTTTATGCTTCCTCCTCAAATGTAATTCATTTTTAAAAATTTGTTGATTTTTTTTGTGTGTGTATCACACAGAACATCCCAAATCATCTTACTCAACTGTACACCCACTTCCCAGATGGCATACTCCCATAGCCTCTCTCCCCCTACTAGAGCCCTTATACTCTGTTATCCCTGCTACTGTCTGCTGTGATGTCACCCCCAGCCATTCCCCACTACTTGTCCATCTGGTGAATCTAGTCAGCCTATCTAGAGGTCTTTGTTTTAGGAAGGTCAGCTGTTCCTCATCTAGCAGCAATTGTTCTTCATCTAGCAGCAGTCAGTTGTCAATATTCCTTTAGATAAGATTGGTGTCTGCTGTTCATTTGCCCAGTTCTCTGCTGGGAGTCCCTTTGGCCACCCTGGCCAACAACTCAAAAGAAGGTATCTCCTTTATGGTATTGTTGCTTGTTATGTAGCCTTTTCCTATACATATGGACTCTTAAAAATTTACACTGGCCCCTTTAATCTTTGGTTATACTTTCCTTTTGGGTGTTTAAGGCCATACAGTTGGCCCAGATAAACCAATTTATTTTTACCAACTTAAGGTCATTTGAGGATCTGTTCCTCAGGAGTCACATTGGCTTGGGAGAAGCCCTTGGCTTCTTTCTTTTCCCAGTTCCGCCTATGTGAAGATAAGTCAAAGGTCCTACTCGACCATGGCTGGCTTCGTTTGGAAGCATGGAGGAAATGATTCCTCTGCGTTGACTCTCATCTTCGTAGACTGGATGCTGGTTCAAGTCCATCTTGTGGGGTCTCCTTGGCTTCCGTGATCAAGAGGACAGGTGACCCACCACAATTACCGGACATTTTAAGAGATGCTCATAGTCCTCTGGAACTAGTCGACCTAGGAGGGCAATGAGCAAAAACTGTCCTTTATGTCCCTCTGACCAAATTAGTATAGGCCTCAAAGTATGACTGTTAAACATCCAAGAAGGTTAGTTTCACCAGTCTGGTAATTTAATTACTGTGTGTCATGTAGATAAATCTTGAGCAAAGACTAATTTTTCTCAGATAAACCTTACCCAGACATATATTTCTTGATCTTCAATGTATAGTTTGTCAATAGGTTGTAGGAGTAATATGGTTCCCTCTGGTTTTCAAAATTAGCTAGTCATTATTTATCTCTTGCATTGTCTTACCCCTCCACCATAGTTTTCCCACTTAAGGTGCCACCATTTTCCCCCTTTCTCCCTTAGTAATACCATTCTCCTACCGTCCTACCTCTCCTGAGCTCCTTCTTTCCCTTTATCCCCTAGATTCCTTGTATACCCTTCCCTCCCCCCTCCCTTAAACTAACCCAATTTTTATCCATATCTCCCTTATAAAGGCCTGTTTCCTATTGTTCCTCTCTTTAGATTCTTTCTTTTCCTTTACCTCCCTGTTTCCTTTCTGTTATCCTGATGCCTGTAGTTATGTCTGGATACATACTCACTTATCAGGGCTTGATTCTAGGATCCACATATGAGAGAGAACATATGTCGATTTTTTTCTGAGTCTGTGTTTCTTCACTTAGTATAACAGTTCCTAGTTCCATTCATTTACTTGCAAATTTCATGATTTCATCTTTCTTTACTGCTTAGTAAAACTCCATCATATAAATGAACCACATTTTCATTATCCACTCATCAACTGAGGGACACTTAGATTGCTTCCATCCCTTAGCTATTGTGAAAAGAGCAGCAACAAACATGGATGTACAAGTGTCTCTGCAATAGGATGAGTTCTTTGGGTATATGCCAAG